CAGTGAGTGGAAAATATTTTTATATCAATTTGAACAATTTAAATTAAATTTTATTCATAACAAATTGTATAAAGAATATTTTTCTATGAAAAACTTGATAAATATATATAATTTGTATTGCTAAATATGTATTATAAATATGTATAATCTAATACATGTCAAATATTGGAAATTATACGAGATTATAAATTATTTGGGAAAGCTTTAATAGAAGGCGTAGCTGGCCCGTTTATCATCGGATAACAGTTCCGGAGTACATCCTTTGAATGTAACTCTACCCTTGGGTAAACAAGACTAAGGGTTATGACCATTCTCGTTTGTCTTTGCATTCGGAGAATCTTCGCGCGAAATCCCTAGCCAGGACCCAATTAACTGTCTAAGAATTCGATTCTATCCCATGGTAATTCTAAGATAGTACGACTCTAACGACAGATTAGGAAAGACAATATTTGCTGTGATGCTTCTGCGCCTAATCGCGTATTGCCTAGCAGATGTGCTTCACTTAATATCGCTCACTATTTGTCTTTCCTTCCAATAGAAGCTTGAGACTTAAATAAACATAATAATTTAAAGATTATCAAAAATTTTTGATAAATTTAAATTTTTATCATTCATTTGTTCATCATATTTTAAAAATTGATAATAAAATTTTTAAAAATTGATAATAAACTTTGTACATAAATATGAAATTTTTCTTTTTCTTATAATAAATATAATTTAAATATTAAAGCTATCTTGTTTTTATAAATTCTAAATTAGAAGAAAAAATAATAGTTATTAAGAGCAAATAAATTTATTATAATGTATTTAAAAGTAATAATATTATAATAATGTAATGGAATGTATGTATAAATATAAAGTTGAAATCATCTTTATATTCGATTTTTATACTCTCTGATATCAATTGTCTAATTATAAAATCACATAAAATTACATTTCAAATGTTTTTTCTAATTTCTAATATATTTCTAATTTTGTATTTTCTAATGGTAATGATTTTTTAATTTAAAATTAATTATTATAATTTATATTTTCTTCTCAATATCTAATGATTTTACATTTATAGGTACTTATTGTTTCTCTATATCGAATATTACAAGACTATTATAATTACTATTTGGAATTAATTAAAATTGCTCTGCAACTCAAATAAAAATAATAAGTTAGTAAGATAAAATATATAACAAAAAATATATAAAAATTGAAACTGTCTTCTTATTACTGCAAACTCTTTACTGGCTATATTTTTTGCAGAAAGTCACGTCCAAAATGGAGACAACTCAACTAAATTGCAACGTGTCTAAGGATCCTCCGTGTTCGACCACAGAGACCCGTATCCGCATCTGCGACGGTTTGAATTGAAGATTTTTGCGGACGGTAACTCGTTGGCTCACGCGCTAACGTATTTGCAAGATCCGCTGTGCTGATGGACATATAATGCGACGTGTGATTGTAGGCCCGCCAATCGCGGCCGATTGTGCCTCTGAAGGCCCGCTAACTATCTCAAACTAGCCCCATTCAAACCGCCACGACCTCTCTCTATCCATCTCTATCTACCAACTCGGCCTCTGTATCTCGCTCGTTTCAACCCTTATTCACCACCATCTCCCGGTGCCCGTGCGTCTCGTTCATCCCCGAACTTCGCATCTTCGTTGCTCCCGACTCGTGTCTCGTTTGCACTGACTTCACATTCCGATTTTCCCTCCTCTTCTGTGAAAACTCCGTCCTCGTTCGAATTCGATGTATTTCTTGCCGCACGTTTCTTCTGCACGGCGCACATCCTTTTCTAATTTTCGACTGGCTCTTTCACCGCACACGTAATCTTCTATTTTATTCGCTATACCCTTCCTAATGCGATAGCTCGGTCCATACAAATACAGCCACAGCTTCACCTGTTTCCTATCTCGCCTCACGAATCGAATGTTTTACCTCTCATTTAAAATTCTTTATCTCGCTCCATTCAACTCTCACTATAGAGACATTTCGTTTTTCGAGGTTTTTCACGATTCTTTTCACTTCATTATTTAATCCTAATTTATCTATTTTCTTTTCATAATGTTTAATCATGTATCTTATTTAATTCGGTTTTCTTAATAAGTAATGTTTAAAAATCTAATTTGAATGAAAAGATAATAATATTTACGTTTAATCTCTATTTTTCAAGTAAATTTTTAATCTTTTTTTTTTTGAAGTATATATTTTATCAGTAAAATACTGTTTTAAATGTTAATTGTGTAATTTTAAAATTTTTCAAATGTTTTTTGAAAAAAAAAGTAAAGAATTATTAATATTGAGTTGAAAAAATATATATATTTTTCTTATCATTGTTTTTTCTATATATAATTTAACATCGTAATGATAATTTTATAATTTTATAAATTAAAATTACTTATCAAAATTGCTTATATTTATAAGTTTAAAATTATTGCTTAAAATTTTATAATGATTTTTTGTAACTGAAATTAGACTTCTAAAATGACATTATCTTAATATTATATAAACTCTAATCGTTTCTTTTAAAAAAACATTTCTAATCATACTTCATCATTATCACCTCTCATTCGTTTGATTTTCACGATTATACTGATACCGCTTCATTTCTCTCTCCGTCATCCCCATTCTCTCTATCCTTTCACCACTACCGATCATCTTTCCTTTTCCAACGCCCCTTATCTTTATTGTCGATCTCCGTTCAACCTGTTTCACTCGTCGGCACAATCACGTGTTACATAGGTACATACATTCTACTAGGCTATTCGTCCCGATTCGAATTCTCGACCCTATATAACCGTGGCACGTTCTACGTGGGAATTTCAAATCTATCAGCAACCCAGACGAATGCAAATCGCGCATGAAGCGCGCTTAATAAAGCCCGCACGCGGCCCGCAACTCGCAATTTTCTTTTCGACGCTACGTGTCGCGCGCGCTCCTCTTAATGAAACCTTCGCATGCACTGTGCGAGATTCACAGCTACGTTTCCATTCAACACGCATCTCCACTTCGATACTATTAGAAAAAGAACACGTTCAGGATCGTTAAGATTCGACAGAAAGAATTAGGCGATTTTATATTATTCTGTTGGAAAAGAATCGTATTTATAGGAAGAAAAGAACAAAATCCATTTGTAACAACTTTAAGGAGAGTAAAAAAAATTGCTTACAGAATTATTGCTTTAAGAAAAACATTAATTGAAAAAAGTATTATATTTTTACACAATAATCACTTAATCAATTGATAAATCTTCATTTTAATTTTTGAATTAGAATTTTTCAAATTTGATTCTGATTTGTACCGAAATATTAAAAAATAGTAATTTTTTTAACAATAAACAATAAAAAATATAATCTATTGATTTAATGCTGAATATTATTAATCAAAAATATCATTTTAAATGCAAAAGAAGAGCATATTTGCATATTTGTATTTTTATTGTAAAATAGAATCTAAAGTCTATAATAAATTGTTTATTTTTTATCGACATTTACATTTAATATCACATGATGTAAAATTTTTTTAGTATTTTTAATTGTATTATTTAATTATATATTACATCTTTAATAATTTATCAGACTATCTTTTATTCTGAAAAAAAAAGAAATCTGAACTAAAAATAGAAAAATCTAGCAAAAATCTATAACAATTTACGAAAATTATAGAGCAAAAAGAATGCAACAATAAAAATATTATACAAATTTGAAGTAACAAAATTAAAAAAAATTCCGATTTCCTATCACAAATAAAAAATTATATTTTTAATTTCTTATTCATTCATGTTTTTAATAATTTATAGAATAATGCGAACTAACATTCATACTTGAAGTTTTATTTTATTTTTGTTAAGAAATCCCATTTCGTTTCATTACATCAGACATTATTCTCACTAACTGTAAAAATATATATCGATGAAAATATATATCCTTTTTCCAATGAATCTGTTTTGAATTATTTCATCCAAATAAACGTCTCCTCAAAATATCAAAAAATGTAGTGATATGTGTGAATATCAATCTCGATGATCAGTATCAATAATCGAACTGGATAATGCTTTTTGACTAGACATATTTCTAGGCGAAAATTGAATTTGAAGGAAACAGAGTCAAGAGATAAGCGCGGAGAAGCGTAGCAGCTATTTGCGTGGCCTTAATAAGGACGTTTGATGGCGTTGGCTTTCCCTTAACAAGCCGGCTAATATCCTGGGGCCTTGGCTCCCCTTGGTCTGTCTTCTCTGTCCCTATCTCTGTTCCTTCTTCTCACTTCCTCTATCGACTTCGCTAACCTACCGCACGGTGAACACCGTCGGGAATCACTAAAGCTTGAAAACCGAACAAACTCAGTTAGAGAACTCGGTGTGAGGAGCAACTGGACCTAGCGGCAAAACCGAGCCTTCTCCGCATCTGCGATTCTCTTACGCAGCTTGCCACGTTTATAAACTGATTTTATTCAGTCTTGGATGGTCGTTTAATAGTTCTAATTGTAATTAAAAAGATCATATTAAAAACCATCTTTATCAAATCTTTTTCTTTTAAGAAAATAGAGACATATTTTAAAATTTTTAATTTTCCTTCTGTAAATTTAAATTTTTTTTAACAAAATATTTGTGCATAATAATACATAAATGCTGTAAATATTATTTATAATTATAATGCAAAAGAACTTCATTCAATCTTCATTCAATCAGAAACTTGTTATGAATCTTATCATTAAAAATTATTTTTATTATATTTAATTTTTTTATAATAATATTCTATTAAATGTTTTCAAATGAATAAATTTAATAGAATATCACTAATGAATAATTTTAATGAATAAGAAATGAATAATTTTAATGAATAAGAATTTGGGCTGTAATGATAAAAAATTTGATAGTAATATAAAATGCATAAAATATAATATAAAAATTTATTTTATGTATATTTTTTAAAAATTCTATATAAAATAATATACGTATTTCTAATAATTGCATATTAATATATATACACATGTACAATAATAAACTTCGCTTTACTTGAATTAGCAGATCTACAACTTATGTAGATACCATAAGAAATATTATCTATAATATCTTAAATTTAAGTACTGGAACATGATCAAAGAAAAAGTAAAATTTCACAAATATTTGAAAATTTTAGTTTCAATATAAAATTTGAACTATTCAAAATAACATTTGCAGAGATATAACAAAACTTTAATTTCATTCTTTGCAAATATTAAATAAATTATGGATTATGTTATAACGCTATTAGGAAAATGTTGATTTCTCTATAACAGAAAAGAAAAAATTATTAATTCAAAAAAATATTTTTAATACTTTTAATATATAATTAATTACCCTTTTCTTTTTCAAATCGTATAATAAAAGACTTGCTGTTGTTGCCAATTCATTATTTCTGCTATTATTTTCAGTATTAGTAACATATTCATTTTTAGGTTTTGGAAGCCATCTAAAACATACGATATTTTAGAATAGGTTGCATATAGTTAAATAGTTAAATATTAAGTAAAGATATATTATTTTTAACTTACGAATGAATCATTGGTGAAAGCAATTTTTTATCGATAGAAGAAACATCCGTAGGACCAGTCCACCAACTAATGAAATTACCTACGATGATGACAATTAATGTGCCTAAACCAGTGAACCAATGATATGACAATCGATAAAGAGGAAATACATCATCTTCACTGAAAAAAAGACATTTTTATTTAGTACTTGTTTCAAATAAAGTAACAAACAGACCAATTTATCTCTGATTAATTTCAACAATAATTATTTAGAATTTAAAGATTCAATAATTATAATCAAGACTAAGATTAACTTACTTTGGACGATCAAATTGCTTCAAGAAACTTTCAGAAATATTGCCTTGGCAATGAGAAAAGAGCACCGGAAGTTTTTTAGGAACCAGGAGACCGGCACCGATGGACCAATTTGCACCTAAACTCGCCCAGCCGGCGATTACGAATCCTACGATAGCACCCATGAATGCACCCTAATTGATAGAAAAAAATGATTAAAATTTTTATAATTATTTATTGAAATACTATAACAAAATACTATAAAATTACGAAAATGTGTAAAAAAAAATACATAAGAAAAAAATAATATTCCATAAATAATTTACCTTAGAATTTACCCATGGAAAGAACATACCTAATGTAAACACTCCAAAAGAAGTGCCTGCAGCTATTGCTGCTAAGCTTCCAGTTATCTGAAATTATATTGAAATAATATAAAAATAAAACTTTATCAAGAAATTCTTATTTTATAAAAATATTAATTGAAAAGATACTTACAACTAAAACACCTCCTAATTTTTCTACTAAAAATAACAATCCTATAGCTATACAACCAAGCAAAACAACCAAACATTTTACAAAAATAAAGGAGCATTGGTCGCTTGGTTTCATACCGAAGCATCCTTTCACGAAGTCTTCTAAAACAACCACTGACGTCGAATTAAAACCTACAGAAAGAGTACTGGAGCAAAGTGAAGCACGATTTAATAAAGAATTATAATTATATTATAAAAAATTAAAATAAATTTATAACATTTACCTGAGAGCTGCTCCAAAAATTGCAGCAATAAAAAGACCTGGCACTCCATGTAAATGTTTTGCAATTTCCATTACGTAAGCGGGCAATAATTGGTCATCGGCAGTAATCAGACCGGAAGCTCTAGGATCGCATTTAGGTGGAGACCACCAGGCTACAAGAACTAGGCCACACCAACAGCATAATGATATGAACAACATAATACTGATAGTAAATATCGCTAATGATCTAAAATGAAATATAAAATAACATACAGAATCATTACAAATATAACTATCATTATAAATATCATTATAAATATAATTTTTTTTACATCAAAAATTAATTTTATACTCACTTACAGTTTGGACGTTTTCAAATCTTTCAATGATCTGTATCGTTGAACCATAGTTTGATTCACGGATATATAAGCGGTACTATAGAGCCATGAACCAATTAACACGGTCCATACTGTATGTCTTGTATAAGGAGATGGATCAAAACTAAAGAAAACAAGAGGAAAATAAAATAATCGATTCATAAACTTATCCCATTTTCTAAATACATATATAAAATTAAATACTTCTTACTTCAAAAATTCAATTCTATTGGCATCCAAAGATCTCTTCCATATCTCAGCAGCGCCAATTTGATAAGTACCCAATATACTAACAGTGAGAACACCAGCGACCATGATTCCAACCTGAAGCGCGTCTGTCCAAACTACTGCTTTGATACCACCCTAGTAATCACATTCTCCAATTAAACCCACCTTTCATCTACATAACCATCATGATAGCCACGAACAATCGCGACTAATTATCCTTTCATCGAATTCCGTCTCATCTAATATTACATTTAAAACAACGAAAAAATAACAGTATACAGTAGTATATTATCCATTTAAACATCCACAATTGAAAAAAGAAAAAGAAATGAATGTAAGTTACCGATACTCGATAAACATAGACTCAAACCACGTTTAGTTCTAAAATAAAGATTCTAAAAATCGAGATGGAGATAGCGACGAAGGAAATTTAAGTGGCCTCTTTTACTCATTATACAAAGTTTCTCTATAACAAGGGCCATCAAAACATGGAGGAAGAATTATCGAACGAGCGACTGACAAAAAAGTTTCATGCACACAGTTTTAGTATACGCGATCGTTAAGCGAAGGATAAGCTTGCAGACGGAGCAAAAGCGGTAATAAACAATTTTCCAAAGAGTCACTGGGCCGCGATAAATTTTCATTAATTCGCGGGCCACAACAAATTGCTTGAATAATTACAAGCGCGCGCGAGCATGCGATTAATCACTTCGGCGTTGGCTTTGTGATCTGCTAGCACGGGGAACGAGCACTCGACGTGCTCCGCGCCATTGTTTCCGCCGGGCCATTGTCGAGCTTTCAGTTTCCGTCCATAAACATTTCCAGTAGCCGGGTCCGCGTGAGAGATTCTTCGCGGCATTGTCCACCGAAAATTGTTTCCTACCAGCTACCGGCGCCCTCCCGTCCGAGGAACTCCAGTTATCCCCAGGAGAATTCGCTGAACCGGCGTTCTTGGAAAATTAGCTCGCATATATACCTAGACTCGAGACTTCGAATTCTGCCTCTACGGTTGTTTTACGCGCATCTCGTCACCGTATGCGATACATCTTGTTAACATCTCGCGAGATGAATCCGCTTCGTCATGATCGTTTAACGCAATCACGTTCTCCTAATAAAATCCGTCCAAGGATCTCAGACTTTGATATTGACGGAACATTATTGCCATCTTGGATTCCAGTAAGATGAATTTAGAATAATAGGTTTCAAGGTGATTTTCTTGTAATACGATTTATATTGTCGAACGTAATATAATATATACAGTAATTCACAAAATTGGTCGTTATAAAGAAATTTCGAAAGAAAGATAATTTTAATTTTAATGAATTTAATATTTGCAAAATATTAAAGCGTAATGAATTGTATATTAAATATTTTTGTGAAATCAATTTCCAAAATTTTCACATGTTCATTCATTTTCAAGTTTTTTAAATGTAATTTTGCTTAAGAATTTTTATTATAATAGAATATTAGATGGAATATTAAAATTTAAATAATTTTTAATATAAAAAATTTTATTCTATTTCGTACCATTAAAATTATATTTGAAAACTGAAGAAAGTGAAATTCTAAATAATAATGAATGATATTTCATTCAAAAAAAAAAAAAATAAAGAATTGAGTTTTTATTTTCTCAAAGATATTTTTTATAAATAAAAAAAATATTTTATATATAAATTCATTGTACACATATATACAAATTTTCATTAAAATCAGAATTATCGAATTAAAAAAACATAGTACACAATAATATATGTTTCATTTCATGAATCATTATATTTATATATACATGTATTTGATGAAAATTTTTAAACGTCAAAAATAAAAAGAATAAAAATATTTAAAATCCAAGATTATGTCAAGTTTATTTGAAAGTCGTTCAGTCTAAAATGTTATTTTTAGCTTAAAATTTCAAGACATGACAATCATTTTTATTTTTATAAGTAGTTTATATTTTCAATATATATATATATATATAACTATATATATATATACTATNAGATGTGTAAATATGAATATTTAATTCTTTTCCAAAAATTTATAAACAAGAATCATTTATAAAACTTCACGAAATTTCATGAAACTATAATTAAAAAAAGAGAAAGATAGTCAGAAAAATATTCACAGAGAAGTTATATGTACAACTTTTATAGCTCATAGAATTTATGTCTTTGTCTGGCGCTACCTGAATATTTTTTAACTTTAAATATGTGATCTTCCAGAATTTTTCTACAAAAAAATATACATTCTACGCGTTCAATATTTATATGAATCCCAGAGATGTACATATAAAATGAAATTTATTAATATAACGTAGAATATTGTTTTTTTTTTTAAATCAAGATAAATAAAAATCATAACTTCAATATAAAATTATCTAAAACGAACTATTTAAAAAGCAATTATGTGAAGAATCATTTCGTTTTATCGCATGATTGATTGACGTATATTGAGATAAATTTTCAAAGCATGAACTTACCAAAACAGTGTAGAACATGCATATGAGACATACAATGATCCCGATCAAATGTACATCGATACCGCTCACTGTAATTAATCAGGAAGATTTTAGTAGTATTCGGTTAATATTCTATTATAAATAATATCGGCACATAATACCTTGATTTAGCGCTAATGCTGGAACGTAGACCACGATCGATTGGTAAAGGACCTAAAATTGGTTTATTACGATATTATTAATGCAACATCGCTATCGACCATTGGCCATTCTCAAAGAGAAGCAAATTAAAGTTTCGTGTTTCCGCAATGTAATATGACGTAATTTTGTTGCAAATAAATTTCAATCATCAAATTAAAATCAATGGTGAAATCATTTCTTCCAAATTTTCTTATTTCTCTTCGTAATTTGAAATTTTTAATTTTTTAATTTAAAATTTTAAATTTATCGACACTGCCTTACAGCATAGATATATGCACTTACCACGTCAATTATAAAGATCAACGATATGAGAATCCTTACGCCGCGATTGAATCTTATTTCCAAGTACTGCAAAAAAAAAAAAAAACAATGAAAATAAAAATTACACGTCATTATTATTAAAATTAAAATTACACGTCATATTTATTAAACGTTATAAATATACCTCGTAAACGGAATTTAATCCCAATGCAACGAAAACTGGGGCGTAAATAAGAGCCACGACGAGACCAGAAAAAAATATGGAAATAATAGTGATCCAGTATTGAGTGCCAAAATTATATATCTCCGCAGGTGTTCCAAGAATCGTCACACCAGATATGAAACTAAAGAGAAAAAGAATTATTCTTTATACATCTCTTATAGTATTTTACATTTTATTTCATAGGGCAAACATCAATGATACTTGTGACGGCTTAATACAGTGGCAATTAGATTCGAAGGATGGAATACCTGGCAACGAGAGAAGCGGAGACGGGTAAAAGGGTCATGCTCTTTCCTCCTAAGAGATAATCTTCCGTGCTCGACTTCTGTGCTCCCTTGTAATGCCATAATCCTGCGGCAGCAGATACGGCGAGCATCAACGCGAACACCAGCCAATCTGCCCAATGAAAGTATCCTCTTTCCTCTGTTTCTAGCATTCTGGCTCTGGGAAACTGGAGCCAAGCGAAAACCTGATTTATAAAGCTAGATTTGCTTAATAATGCCGATAATAGGCGTAATGGAAGTCAAATAACACGTACAAAAACTTAATGCCTCTTGGAATGATATGAATAATGGATTTTTAAAGATTTATTTTCTTCCGTGGCTACGCGAAATATAATAATAATAAAGCATGCATTAATAAATAGATCTACAAACTTTTGTAAAGATTTGGAAGAAATATAAAAAGATGAAGAAGCGAAGATTATTGTCTTCTTTTTATCGGATTTTAGGTATAAAGCAATTAAATAGCAAATTAAAAAAATAAAACTGCTATTTAAAATAAGTTTGAATGTAATTTATGATTAATTCACCATATATTTTTGTAAAGTTTGTATTAAGTAAATTATAAATTACAAATGAATGTATTATGCTAATGGTCTTTATAGCTAAAACATGTATAGTGTTAATGGAATATAAGACATATACAGTTAGTTCATGATGTATTTACGGAATTCTTGTCTTAATGCACACATCTATCGTACATGTATGTTCCTAATTGGTAATTGACACGTGACCTTAATGCGACTTGCAGCTGTTAGTGTTTCAATGGAGCTTGTTAACTCGTTAAGTTCCATCCAGACCGAGAGACAATTGTTTGCAGACATATATCCGTAAACAATCCGCGTACATTGTCCGTGGATAAGGAAAGACAAAATATAAATTCATGCGTATATTTTGTCTTTCATTGGAATGAAAAAGAAGAGAGGATATCTGCAGACAAATAATGAAGAAACGTGCAAATAAATATTTTAAACAACGTTAAACAAATATTTTATGCTAAAACACTAAATATATATCTTAACATTTTAGTATTAATTATATAAGAACAAGAATTGCTGCACGAAAGTTAACATCTTTTCTTTTTATTTTTCAACTTTTTGTAATATTTGTAATCTCGAAATCATTTTTAGACATCCTCACAAAATTTCTAAATTCTGCTATTTATATTTAATTTTCTAAAAAAATTTTCTAAATAAGTTTTTACTAATATCTATTACTCGATAATTGTTTAATACTTTTTCTTTTTTCTTCTAAATTAAAAAACAAATTCCATAAATCATGTGACAACAATCTTACAAACACATAGTTAAGATATCGTTAAATATACAGTATTATATACAGTAAACGCACTATATACTTTTTATCCAAGAACGTCAGAGATTGTATGTAGGCTATTTATAGAGATATCCTTCAATCTATATAAGATTGGAATCACACGAATGATTTGAAATAGGTAGATGTGTTAAAATATATATCAACTCAAGAAATAGATTTAGGTTAATAGCTCATGCAACAAAATGATAATGTTTCAATCTTGTTTGAATTACTGACTTAAATCTATCGCTTAAATTGATGTCTGCATCATAATATATTTTATCTATAAATTACTTAATGTATAATATAATATCAATAACATCGATAATTTCTACGATGTATGTTGAACATTCAATATTGATATGTTATTCTGTCCATTTTTTTATAAAACTGAATAAAATCAATGTTCGTGATGATCCTGACCTTGTATTTGATATATGATATCGAAATAAACTATTCGCATTTCAATTTTTTCATTTGATGAATAAATAAATTAAAATTAATGTATATGTCAATGTATTTATGTATATTATGTATTGAAAAATTTTTATTCATCTATTTTTTTTATTTATTTATTTTTTTCAAAAATCAAAATGCAAAAAATTTTCCATAATAATCATATTAATAAATTTTTTATTTAATTATCATAATCATACATAATCATATATATATAATTATACATAATCATATTTATTAAAAGAAATTTTTAATTATCATTAAGTTGTATAATAAATTCGTTCTCATTGACTCATTGATTAAAGAGATTTTGTTTCCTATTTAATGAGATTATAAAGGAATGCTTTGTTATTTCTGTTATTTTTCTTAACTAAAAAATACCGTGTTTAACTGAATTAAAAGCATTATTCATATCTAGAAAAAGGAACTGTTTTTTATTATGGCAATGCACAATTGCGTTATATAAGTTTTAACAATGCATTAAATTATTACAAATTATTTGAAATTTTATTCTAGCCGTTATATTTATTATATAGACTTTGCTCTATATGATTTTTATTTGTTTCATACATTGCAAAATTTTATCAATAGAGATTAAGAACACCAATAAAATAAACATATCTGAAATATTTGAAGTTTTTAATATAAATAGTTTATAGTAAAAAAATATTTAATTTAATCAAAATATCAGAGAAATAATAAATAGAAAAATCATGACATAGACAAATCAAAAACAAAATTACATATATAAAATTAGTTAAATAAATTTTGAATTAATTGTCAGTATTTATTATAGTATATATTTCTTACAAAAAAATGCAATCGGATTTATCAATCTAATTTAATAATACTAGATATTTAAACTTAGCGCCATTTGCATTAGTATCATTCATTCTATTGTAGATGTCAGAAGCATACAGAAATCAATTTTGATTCAAGGTAGTGAACTATGTTTCACATTACAAGATATAAATAGACATGATTAGAAGACTTGTAGAATAAAGTGAGACGTAGAACTTAATGAAAAATTATTTCAAAAATGTGAAAAATAATCATATATATAACAATTCATGTGAATATAATACATTAATATCGTAAGTTTTTATTTCTTTTTTTTGAAAACGGAAATTTATTTATTTCTCAATCTTTTTCTATAATTCTCGATCATATACAATTATGCATATTGAAAAAAATTCTTATATGTTATGCATTTAAAATTTATAACAAAAATTTGCCAATTTTTAGTAAAAATCTGTGTGAAAAATTAGTGAAAAAAATATTTAATATCATGCTACATACATACATACATATGATTTCTTGATAAGTATATATGTACATATGTAATAACGTTCGATAATTGTCTTCTATTAGGTTTTATACATGCAACATAATATAAATATATATACGTGCAATAGAATTAATATTGTTACCGACTGAAAATAATCAGCAAACGATGTAATAGAGATCGATTATGGATAAGTATTTACTATCTACTCAATTTTATAAATAGTTTTCCTTATATTTAGCAACCATAGGCTCATTCGTATTCGTATATATTATTTAAATTTTTATCTTCTGCATACAATAATGAAAATATTATAAGCACAATTTATTTATATTTAATTATATTTTTATTTCAATTTAATCGATGATCGGTAAAAATATAAAAAATAATGAATAATTTCCTTTAAACGTTAAATTCCGATTAGTAATTTTCTTTTTTCACGTTCTGATTTTTTTTATTTGTTATTCAAGTAATACTTTCCAAGAATTTACTTCTACAAAGCAAGTTTTATTTAGAAAGTAATTGGTCTCATTTTTCTTGTTTCTGTCCTCATTTTATAAAATATGCACAAAATAATATTTAACTTGCAACAAACGAATTTAAATTTGGAACGAATTATAAAAATAAATATTAAAATGAATCAATAAATATAATTCAATATAAAAAATTTTAAATGAGCATAAACCATTAATTTAAATATGTATACATAATATAAATAATTTTAATTAAATAAATTGTCATGTTATATAAACAATTTTAATTATTTATATAATATAGAAAATATTCGTACAAAATAATTAATGTAGAATTATTTATTTCTTTCATGAATATTCTAAATTAATATTTAAATGATCACATAACAATTTAATAAAAACAGAAAAAATAATTGAATTGTTCAATATTTACTTCTATATACTGATTCACATACCAAAATAAAATTTCAAAGCTATCGATCAAACAATCAAACGCAAAGAATGACGCAGGATGTCAAGCACAACCGCGAAAATCACAATGAAAAAGTGCGGTTACGTGACTCGAAATATTCATAAACATATTTTTGTTAACAGATATAATGCAAAAGATTTACACAATTTAAATATTAAAAAAAAAAAAAACACGCAGCAAAATAACACAGTCAATAAATATAGTTAAACAAAAGATATAGCGTAACGATCAACCATGTTCCGTGATCAACAGTCAACTGTCGTAAAGTTCGATGTTCGATGTGCAACAACCGGTTTCTTCGATTGAAATCTAAAATTCATTTAACTTTTTATTCTAGCAGTAAACAATTTAAATCACAAATTTAATTGATTTTTTTATCAATTGTTTAATATTAAATTAAATTAATTGCGTGATATTAAATTATAAAGAACTTAGATAGGAAAAAAAGATTAAGAAAATAAAATCATACTGTCAAAGACAATATTGTGAAATGTTATATTATTATTGAATCAAAATAATTATATAAATATTCTTCCTGTATGTAATTTCAACATTAATGAAATAATATAAGGTAAATGTACAATTTGTTAAGTTGCTTCTATAATTTCAAATCAAATAAAATTTGATGATTAGACAATTATATATAATTAATTCTAACCACATACTGACAATTATTTTCTATTACTAAATATATATATATATATATATATATATATCTTTTTAAATTACTTGTATTCTATTTCTTCTTTTTCATTTGGTATATGATTATGTATTTTTACTTATCACGATAAGGATATATAAGATATAAAAATTTTAATTAAAATAATTTGAGGAAATTAAAATTAAAAAAAAAACAATTAGTGTTTATAACAAAGTATTTTCATATCATATATCATAATCATAATAAATAATTATTGTATAATAATTAATAATAATAATAATATAATTATTCATATAATAATCATAATAATAATTATTCATTATAAATAATTACAAAGGTAATAATATATAATCAGCTTTTATTTAGGATTTTCAATCTAAAAATATGATGCTGTAAAAATTTGCATCATAGTACAGCAAATACAATACCATTTAATTTTGAATAATTTTTTTAACATAAGACTTATTTTTTTATATTAATTGTTGTAAAAATGGCAATATTGAACAAAGTATATGCATTCATTGATCACATCTAAAGTTCTGTGTGCACACATTATTTGTTAACCAAACAGAAACACAAACATTTTTAATAAACAAAGTCATATATTTCTAACCACTTATATTGTTTATACTGTTAAAAATAGGTTGGAAATAAAATTGGAATGTTGTAATTAAAATTATCTACTTTACATTAGTTCATCTAAATTTGATTCCAATATATATGAAAATAATATACTAAATAAAAAATATAAACTCAAAAATTTAAGTATAATTTAAGTTACATTTACTATTTGAATTAGTTTAAATATTTATATATTATATGCATATTTTATGATATTAGTGATAAGAATTATTTAAAAAAAACATGTTAATTATACAAAATATAAAAATTATAACTTAATAATTTCTATTAAAATAATTATTAGTATAATAAACAATTATAATCTATATGTGGGATTTTACCATAAATTTCAAACATCTAATAATTTTCTTTTTATCTATATACAGGATATTAATATATTCGTATGAAACTTTTTGAGAATAGATTCTAAAATTTAAAATAAAAAAAAAATTGATATATAAAAATATTGGTTGAGGCTTACTTATTAAATTATAAGCAATAATGTTTGACGAAACGAATTCTATTTTCATTACGCTTTATTATGCGAATTTCAATTGCTTATAACTTAATAAATAAAATCGATATTTTTATATATTAACTTTTCTTTTGTTTTTCTCTCTAGAATCAAGTCTTCAATAATATATTCATTAATATATTAACATCTTATATAATATTAAAAGTCAGTTTTTTTTATGTTTTAATACAATAGAGAAGTTTGTTTTATAAATTCTCATAAATCAGGTTCTCAAGGTACACTTATTGTTTCCAAATATGGTATATATAATAATAATGATATTATGCATTATTTACTTATCATTTGTACACACTCACATTGCATGCTCTTTTTACTATTTCACTTTTTATGGTAATACTTACACTCAGTAAAACATACATACCACATACTCATATACATATGTGTGTATTTATATATATATATATAATATATATCTCAATTTTTTTTAATCTTCTTATTTCACAAAGAATTATCATTAAATTTGTCAATGAGCAACAAAGATTTCATTAATATAAAACCATCAACAATATGAATTTTTAATAATGACTTCTCAATTATATATTGGTCAGTCTTTTAAAAGCATTATATTCCATATAGGAATCGTAATATAATTCATAAATATAATAATAAACAAAGATAATTTGTTCTTTGTGAAATAAGAAAACAAATTTGTATATTTAATTTTTCGCACTTTTCGAGTTAAAAGTGGAATATAGAAATTGTGTACTAATCACAGTTTTTGATGTCTCCCTTCTCCAAAAAGCCATAAGCAGATTCTATCAACTATATATGCAAGAATAAAGTCTGCTATTAATACTTGAATTAAAAGACTGCGGAACTACAAATATAAAATATAAATTAGTATATAAGATAATAATATAAATATGAACTCTAACTAAAAACTAAACTAAATTTTTTTTATTCACTTACATCACTTGGAAAATCTACAATTTCAAATTGTGTTGCTAATTCAGGTAAAAATCCACATGTTAATCCCAATATAACGGCAGCATTGCCTATAAGACTATATAATAAAAATTTATTTTGTAATAAACTTTCCATATATGGATGACCCTATATAATAGAATTGTTAAATTAGAATGAAATAAAGTTACAAAAAGTTGTAAATGATATTTCACTTAGCATAGTACTTTACCCGATAATTAATTGCAAAAGTAGAAATTTGAATTGTCATTGCAATAATATAAACTGTACTATTTAATAAATTTGGTTCAAATGGTTCGTCTTCATCATTAAAATTTGTATTCAAGGCCATACTTTCATTATATGGATTATTTGGAGCTAATATAGCTGCTAATTTATCACTCCTTGTTAAATAAAAAAAAAAAATTAATATTTATAATTTAATATTATTAATTCTTTAGATATTTAATATATATTTGTATAATTTTTAAATATATTTTTTTATTATTTTACTTACTTTGGAGATAATAAAGTAGCTTCCTTAACTAAATATACAAGAGAAAAAAAATGTACAGCAAATTGAAGAAGTACAGTCGCAATCGTATATAAATTAAAGATATTTGGAAGAGGTCTTTGTTTAGACAATGTTTTCAATGGTTTTGATCTTGATATGAATAAGAAACAAGTGGCTAGTAAAATACCCTGTAATGTAGCTTGTGCATCACTAAATTTTATTCCATCTAAATAAAGGACAGATTGGCTATATGCAAGTCCTAATGCATTAAGTGCTAAAATTTTGAACATCTGCAAGGTGGTAACTAAAGTGCATCGTCCTTGCTTAATAACATGGCATACTATAATGAAACAAATATTAATATAATATTATATAAATTTATATTGATACTGTTATTAGAATATTGTATACAATAAGACTTACTACATTGAATCGACGACATTTTGCTAGTGAAAGGTGCAGCAATTGATGCATCTCCTAATTTAACTATAACAGATTGTTCTTCAAGTTCTTTCAATATTTTTTGTATTCTTGCTCTAGTATTAGCAGAAACTCTTGGATTATTTCTTGGCCCATTTGTTATTGTTGAATTTGAAATGGTATGTTCATTTTTCATATTATCTTGCTTTTCAGCAGATACTTTTTCTGGTAAACTTGATAAAATTGCAACACCTAAATAAAATAAGTTAATAATATAATTTTATATATATATATATATATATATATAAAACTATATAAAACTATATATATATATATTTAATATATTTATATACTAACCCACTTGAGCATGTTTTAAAGCACCAACATCATTAGTACCATCTCCACACATTAAAGTTGTGTATCCTAAATTTTGCAATGAAACAATTATAAATTCTTTTTGTTTTGGTTCACATCTTGCAAAAATTACAATATGTGGTAATAATTTACGAAGTAACTCTCGTTCATTATCTTTTAAATATGTTAAACCCTAAAAATGATATATTAAAAAATACACATATTAATATATATTTAAAATATTTTTTTTATACAACTTACTTCTCCTGTTACACAAAGTGCATATTCTCGCCATATTTCATTATTCCGAGAAACATTTTTTATTTCCAAAGGTAAATTTATTTTTCTATCCACACTTTCCCATATCCATTCTCCATTATTTGAAGTCAATATAAGCGTAATTGATTTTTTTGTAAAATGTAATTCACGACTGACATGACATGCTGTTAAAGGATTATCACCAGTAATCATAACAACCTATAAAAATAACAACTCATAACAACACTAAAATTATAAAAAAATAAAATTTAAACATACATTTAAGTTTTATATATATATATATAATTTACCGAATGTGAAGCATTCACGATCTCTTTAATAACAGCTTTAGAATCAGGTTTAAGCGGACAACTTATAATTACAAATCCAGCAAAAATGAGATTTTTTTCTAATTCTTCTCGTGTAAGTTCTCTTAAATCTTGCGATGATAAAGGACCAGGAAGTTTTCGATATCCTAAAGCTAAAACTCTTGCTCCACGACGCGAAAGCGATAAATATGTTGAATCATAATTATCTGGTATAGATGATAACTGAAAAAAAAAAATAAATAAATAAAATATTTAAAATATATTATGACAATAAAATAAATAATTTATTATTTTACAGACCATATTCTTAATAATTTCAGGAGCACCTTTCACAGTGGTCATGTAATTGATTTCTGAAGATCCAGGTATTGTATATCCAGCTACAACTGACATACGTTTTAAAGCAGAAGAAAAGTGATGTCTTTGTACGATTTTTAAGACAGGTGATTGTCCTTTTCTAGGTATCATAGAATCAGCTAAAATAAATAAATTAATTATATTAATTAATTAAAATAAATTAAAATTGTTAGAATTTTGTTTGTAAAAAAAAATTTATATAATATAATAAAAATATATAATAAAATACTTTTTGTAAGATTCCATTTAATAGCTTTTAATGTAGCTTTCTCAAGAGGATCTCCAACAATTCCATCATCTAATTGTACAAGAGAATGGCATGTTGCAAGTACTTGAATACTTTCTATAGGCGCATCAGAAAGTTGCATAACATCTGGTTTTCCTCTAAAATAATAAATGATTTTTTAATATAAATTCTTATATTAAATCAAATTTAAAAGTTATTTGATTATTCTTACTCAATCCCTGCTATACCTTCGACGACCAAATTATCACTAGTTAAAGTACCAGTTTTATCAAAACAACATATTTCAATTTTTCCAGCAAATGGAATTCTAAAAGGTTCAGTGCAAAATACACCTATACAATAAAATTATTTATTATAATTTTTTATTAAAAAAAATATATATGTAATTGAATATTATTTCCACATATGTTCTAAATACCTAATTTTGATAAGGCCAATAATGAAGTATTAACAGCTAATGATAATTCAATAGGCAATTCTGGAGGTACAACTGATGTTAGAATAAGAGTACATTCCAAGAATAATTTATATCTATTTCTAGTAGGATCTTCACTTCCTGTGTATCAATAAATTATTAGTAATTTAAAAATATTTTTGGACATTCACTTAGATTAATATGTTTTATTTATTTAGATATTATATACCTTTAATCCACACATATGATGCTGCAGCAATTGCAAAAATTAGCAAGAATAAAATAAAACCAAATGTTTCCAAATTATTAGCAGTAACACGTTTAACTCCAAATAATATTGTTCTTAAAAGTTTTCCCTGTGATGTTGAAAATCCGGTACGTAAAACATAGGCTACACAGCCATTATCAGTAGCTGAAAGTTTCCACATAAAAAATATATAACATGTATTGTATGAAATTATTATATTTAAATTATATTTAAATTTAAAGTAAAAAAATACCTTTAAGACCAGATACACTTTTACTTGGTGGAGTATGTTGTACAACCTTTGTACCCCCAAAAAGTACATGAAGTTTATCATCACCTTCTATATCCAACTGTCTATTTCCATCAATTTCTTCTATGGGTTCCTTCATTTGAGGAACTGATTCACCTATCAATAATGATAAAATTAATAAATTAATCATTAATAATAAAATTAGTAATCATCAGTAATCAACTACAATCAGTAAACATATAAAAAATCAAAATTAAGTTACAAATTAATATCCTATCTAATTCATAATTAATTCACCTGTTAGCATACTCTCGTCAACAACACAAGGTCCTCTTAAAAGTAACATATCACATGGCACTAAATTGTCATTTTGAGATCGTGTAATAGATACAATATCACCAGGAATTAATTGATCAGTAAACATGGAATGCCATCGTTTGTTCCTGTAAACCTTTGATAAAAATGATATTATATATATTTTATATATAATATATATGCATTTATTTGCACAATATTCATTAATACCATCATTGTGTATGGTTTATTTCCCATTTTTCTAATTTCAGCCATATTTCGAAGTTGTTGTTGCACAAGTGTACATTCAAACATAATGAGCATAACTAATGTAAATATACTATAATACCAATATTTATCAAAACACCATAATGCTACGCAAAATAGTTGAAAAACAAAAAATGGTGCAATTGCTCTTTCTTTGAATAGTTCTCTAAATTCTGGTACAACCATATCTAACCTATATGAAAGTAATAAAAAATAAAATTGAATTATATAGTTTTTAATAATTTAAAGAAATATATTTACTTATTTTTCCCATATTTTTCCTCTGCTGCTGCAATATCTTTTTCATCTAAATATCCTCTCCATTCACAATAATGTTTAACAGAATGATTAATTGGAAATTGAAGACCTTGAAAAATTTTTTTATCCGAGTTCCAGTAATACTTGGTTTTTTGAAATATAAACCATGGTTCTTGTTGTTCAGAATGATGTAGTTTGACAAGTTCTGAACTTCCATTATTAGGAGTAGGAACTACTTTTGCAATTTTCGCGTTATATGGATTTTTTTCCTAAAATAATTTATATTTTTATAATTTAAAATTTCCCGTCAAGCAACCATGTGACTTATCGGAATAGAAGACCGGTTCGAATGGCTGCCACGTTAACGAAACATATTGAACAATACACGTGCGAATTATTAAATTAATATATTTTCTTATGATAAACAATCGTCAACTCACCGAGCTACAATTAAAAAAAGTGTGTATATGCACTGACCACTGGCAACACAAACATATGAAAATTTGTAATACGCCGATAGCTGCAATGCCCACTAAACCCGCATCATAATATTCATCAATTCCGTAGACAAAAATCCAACTATAAATCCACACAGTGTGTAATATCACAGAGGGCAGAACATATCCCGTGAATAATAATTTCCGAGGATTATGCAGAGTGACAGTTTGTACGAGTTCATCTACCCGCGATGAAGCAGTAGTCGCCATGGCTATGATCACGCTATGCCGTAACAGGAGCGTATAGTTTTTAGTATTGAGAGATTTGGGTTCTTCTCATGAAATTTAACGACACAACAAACTCACATAGCAAAACATATACATAACAATTAATTCTTTTGAAAGGTGTTCGAAATATGTTTAACTCTTTCGCATCTTTCTTCAATATTTTATATATATACTAATTTACGTTAACAAGACAAAAATGAAATTTATCCAGATTACTTGTCTGGCATCTTGTGGTCATATTTGGAACTATTTTTGATAAGATTAATTTTTTTAATTATGTATTTAGTTATTACTGATTTGTATTAATCTTGTCAAAATTTATTATTTTTTATTCAAATTTAATATTCATTATGCCTAGCATTTATAAATTTACATTGTAACTCTGAATTTTCAAATATGTAAATATATAAATATAAATAATAGATTTAGTTAAATTTGTTATTATTTTTAATAATTAAGCAATTAGAATTCTAGTGAAAAATATTTTTCATGAATATGTAAAGTTATAAAAATATTATCAATTAACATTAAATTCTCGATTATACACACAGATGGAGTTGTTACATATTTTGCATGATTTCAAATGACAGATGCGCATGACTTCAAAAAATTGTTTTCAATATTCAAAATATAAAAATCATATTGTTATAATATAACAATTATATTATTGTTTATTAAAAAAATTATTAGAAAACATTCATATTTATTCAAAGATAATAATAAATCAAATACTATAATCAAATATAACATAAAAGAGATTAATATTGTCATCAAATAAATATTTTCTTATGATTTCTTTCAAATAATTGATAATTGTTTTTGTTTAATTATTTTTCATATTTATATATTAAAAAACATTTCCTATTCAAAACTGTTCTTAGCTTCATTAATAAAAAGAGATTGAATCAATTCTAATCGATAATAAAAAAATAAAAGCAGAACCTTTAAGTATCTAGTCGACCTTCTTTACGCAATTTCATTGATCCCGTTCTAGCGTCACAATCTTTGTCAACGTATAAGGTCGAATAGAGCGCGATACGGAACACGGGCACTAGTGAAAGTATATACTTGTGCACCCCACTTCATCACTCGGTCGGAACTCGTGCATGCGTGCAAGAGGAAGGGGTACGGATGCGAGTATTGGTATCGGTACACCGAGTTACCCACGTTGCTAGGTAAGATTGCCGCGTTTAAAATCGTACAGGACAAACCCCGACGGAATCTGGACTTAACGCCACGGAATACATATATACGGTGTCAGTGGCGGTGACTAAGGTATCGACGGTCATACTCGTTCTCTATAGTCTGAGTATACCGTCACATAGTGGTGCTTGTAATTAATCTTTCAAGTGTGAATTAGACTATAATTATTGCATCCGTGTATCGTATTTAGTCGAAATATTATTTAATATAAATTAAAAATCTTATGCACAACGAAAAGTTTCATTCGTTTCAATCACTGATTTTGTTGATTCCTGTTCATGTATAATTAATCATCCTGCAATTCACTTGTGTAGTCCATTTTTAAGAAAAATTGTTTTTTTTTTTTTTTTTTTTGACAAATTAATCGTTCACAGCAAGACAGTATCTTTTTCGCGGTCGACAATATCTGTCAACGGTCGCGCCACACATGACTCAATGATTACACATCAGCGTTTCTACGATCCATCTAGCTTGTAAAGCGCATCTACGGATACATCGACACGTGCTTCACTATAATCATTTATCGTGTTACGGTAACCTAGTTCCGTGAGACTCGCGCAATATTTATAATTATGTGATTTGATTTTTTTAAAAGATATGAACCCTCGCGAAAGGTATCGCGGTGTGGTTAAAATTAGTTACAAAAAATAGTGATATAATTGTTTTGACTTGGTGAAGTGTTTTCAAACTGAATCTATTATGGTGATCCGAATTTGGTATTTTATCATCTCGAAAATGAAATTATTTTTGGCCGTAATAATGATTGTAAGTAGAAATATGATTTTATTATTAAAAAAATTAAGAAGATTGAGTATATCTTTGTATCTTAATAGTAAATCTCGTGATAAGAATAGACAAATTGTCAATTGTTTCATTTTTAATGCATAAATGTGTACATGTATATGTATATATATTTCAAGATCGAGGCGAAATTTCGACTGAACGCAGCTTAGATTCGACGTGGTTAGAATCGGTAAAGATAACAAGTACATAACTTTCTAGTTTGCCGATGAATGAAACTATTCCGAAATCAAAGATTGCCTTAATCCTTGTTCTATTGTTGTAACATGAAATTATAATGAACAATAAATAATTAAATATCGCTAATTATAAATAAAAATTTACATTGAAATATTTATAAATATATAATAAATTTATATCATATTTAAGTGTAAGTATTAATATATGTTATTGTTATATTTATATGTGTTTGTAATATTGTTATAATATAAATGTTAAATAATGCCAAATATATATTACAAATATAAAAATTTATAAAAAAATGTAATTCATTTGAATAAACATTACAATGGAATAAGATATAGAGGCAAAATTTTTTATGATTTTAAATAAAAATTAATATAATAATATTTAGTTATTAAAATTAAAATTAAAAATAAAAGCTATTAAAATTTAATATTAAATTATTTAAAAATTGCTATTTTCATTGATTTTATAAATTTTTGTTTAATAATTTTTTATTTAAAAATTAATTTATAGAAACTATA